TCTCTCTCTCTCGCTCTCCCTCTCTCTCTCTCAGACGATGTGCATGCACTCATATGTCTGCATATTTGTTTCATGACTTTGCTGGCTACGAGAGTGTGTGTGTGTTGGTAGAACTCTTTTGGGTTCCATGTAGAACCCTCTGTGGAAAGGGTTCTACATTGACCCCAAAAGGGTTCTACCTGGAACCAAAAATAGTTATTCAAAGGGTTCTCTTATGGGAACAGCCGAAGAACCCTTTTAGTTTCTAGATAGCACTTACTATTCTAAGATTGTAGGGTTTCCCTCCCCAGTCAGCGGTTGTGAGTAGAGTAGTTAGTAGTACTGTTGTTGTTTATGGTGTCCTCTTTTCCCTTGCATCATGCCACAGTGGGCTGTCTGCAGCGTCTACTTCTACTTTTCAGGTTTCTATTGTTGTGGGGAGGAAGCAATAGCAATTGAACAAGCTACAGTCGCGCTAGCTGCAGTGCCAAAGACAGACAGACAGACAGACAGGTGAGAGGAAGTCTAGGAGGAGAGACAACGACCCAGGGATCAAAGACAGGCTAGAGACAAATGTCTTCTGTCCTCACCACCAGATAAGATTTGTTTTCTTCCAAACACTGTCACTCTGTCTGTCTGTCTGACTGTCTGTGTCTGTCTGTCTGTCTGTCTGTCTGTCAGTCAGTATGTCTGTCTCTGTGTCTGTCTGTCTGTCTGTCTGTCATTTTATTTTTGACATTTTAGTCATTTAGCGACTTACAATTAGTGAGTGCATACATTTTTCATACTGGCCCCCCGTGGGAATTGTCTGTCTGTCAGTGTGGCTGTCTGTCTGTCTGTCAGTATGTCTGTCTGTCTGTCTGTCTGTCTGTCTGTCTGTCTGTCTGTCTGTCTGTCTCTCAGAATTTCTGTCTGTCTGTTTGTCTGTCTGTCAGTATGGCTGTCTGTCTGAGTAATAGCTGAGGCCTTTGCCTGTGCCACTACCAGCTCTGGGTTACTGTAGACAGCAGCTGCTGAAGAAGACTACTCTCTGTCATGGGATAGTGACCAGATGAACAGTCGGCTGGTGCTCACCAGGGGGATGTAGGGGGAGACTATCTGGACATCTGGACATGAACTTGTCTGTCTGCTTCCTCCAGGATCTGCCTTCACAATAGCCTTTTACACTTATCCGGTTACATCATTACATCCGACTAGAACTTTATTTGGGACGTTCCTTTTTTAACATGCCCACTTCTGTTAGTTGTCCTCTCTTCTCTTTCGACCCACACCTTCTTAGGTCAGGGTGTCTGGGACCATTTAAAGGCCCCTTTCTTTGGGCAGCCTCGGGGGCTAGAAGTGGGTGGATGGGTGGTGTGGTGGGTCGTATGGCTTTCTGTTTGAAGCCCTGTGTGGTTTGACAGGCTGGTGTGGTGGTGTGGTGCAGGAAAGGAAAGGGGGTTACTCTGTGCCAAATGTTGGCTGTTGGCTTGGCTGGCTCCATAAGGCCCAGAATCAAAAGGCTCTTTATGAGGTGTTGTAAAGAAGAAAGGTTGGTTTGAAGGATTGTGCTGTGTGCTCAACTCTCTGCCTGCCTCAGACTGAGACTCCAAGGCTAATTCCACTTTTAACATGGACCCTGAGGACACAAGCAGTTACCAGCCCCGCCTGCTGCCTTCCTGCCTGCCTGCTCTGCTCTGGGCTGCCCACCTTGTTTGGAAGAGAGGGCATAGGTGTGTGTGTGTGTGTGTGTGCTTGCTTGCTTGTATGTGAATAAAACGTCAGAATTCAGAACTCCAGGTGTAAGTCTTCAAATATTGGAAAACCTACTTATACGATGTTCGCATTCGTGGAACAGGGATTGATACATCTACAGTCGTGGTCAAAAGTTTTGAGAATGACACAAGTATTGGTCTTCACAAAGTTCGCTGCTTCAGTGTTATGAGATATTTTTGTCAGATGTTACTATGGTATACTGAAGTATAATTACAAGCATTCCATAAGTGTCAAAGGCTTTTATTGACAATTACATTAAGTTTATGCAAAGAGTCAATATTTGCAGTGTTGACCCTTCTTTTTCAAGACCTCTGCAAGCTGCCCTGGCATGCTGTCAATTAACTTCTGGGCCACATCCTGACTGATGGCAGCCCATTCTTGCATAATCAATGCTTGGAGTTTGTCCGAATTTGTGGGTTTCTGTTTGTCCACCCGCCTCTTGAGGATCGACCACAAGTTCTCAATGGGATTAAGGTCTGGGGAGTTTCCTGGCCATGGACCCAAAATGTTGATGTTTTGTTCCCCGAGCCACTTAGTTATCACTTTTGCCTTATGGCAAGGTGCTCCATCATGCTGGAAAAGGCATTGTTCGTCACCAAACTGTTCTTGGATGGTTGGGAGAAGTTGCTCTCGGAGGATGTGTTGGTACCATTCTTTATTCATGGATGTGTTCTTAGGCAAAATTGTGAGTGAGCCCACTCCCTTGGCTGAGAAGCAGCCCCACACATGAATGGTCTCAGGATGCTTTACTGTTGGCATGACACAGGACTGATGGTAGCGCTCACCTTGTCTTCTCCGGACAAGGTGTTTTCCGGATGCCCCAAACAATCGGAAAGGGGATTCATCAGAGAAAATGACTTTACCCCAGTCCTCAGCAGTCCAATCCCTGTACCTTTTGCAGAATATCAGTCTGTCCCTGATGTTTTTCCTGGAGAGAAGTGGCTTCCCGCGCTTGCTGGACTTTCTTGGGCGCCCTGATGCCTTCTTCACAACAATTGAACCTCTCTCCTTGAAGTTCTTGATGATCCGATAAATGGTTGATTTAGGTGCAATCTTACTAGCAGCAATATCCTTGCCTGTGAAGCCCTTTTTGTGCAAAGCAATGATGACGGCACGTGTTTCCTTGCAGGTAACCATGGTTAACAGAGGAAGAACAATGATTTCAAGCACCACCCTCCTTTTAAAGCTTCCAGTCTGTTATTCTAACTCAATCAGCATGACAGAGTGATCTCCAGCCTTGGCCTCGTCAACACTCTCACCTGTGTTAACGAGAGAATCACTGACATGATGGCAGCTGGTGCTTTTGTGGCAGGGCTGAAATGCAGTGGAAATGTTTTTGGGGGGATTAAGTTCATTTTCATGGCAAAGAGGGACTTTGCAATTAATTGCAATTCATCTGATCACTCTTCATGACATTCTGGAGTATATGCAAATTGCCATCATCAAAACTGAGGCAGCAGACTTTGTGAAAATTAGTATTTGTGTCATTCTCAAAACTTTTGACCACGACTGTACTTGCTATGTGCATTTCTCTCTCTCTCTCACTCTCTCTCTCTCTCAGACAGTGTGCGTGCACACACATGTCTGCGTATGTGTTTTGTGACTTTCTGTTGGTTATGACAGTGGGGTGTAAATCCCTTTGGGGTGGGTTAGGTTGGTAGGTTCTCTGCTCCTGTCTGTCCACATTGGTGTGCCTCCTCCTCCCCCCTCTACATCACAATAGGATTCGATAAACTATTAGTGTCCGTTGCTATATCAACGGTGTGATGACCTAATGATTAGAATACTGGAGATCATTACAGCCTAAATGACGTTCTTTTCATCATCGCTATGCAAACAAGGCTTATTTCCGCAACAATTTTGCTGTTTAAACAAGTTTTGTTTAGTTAATAAAATGAAAACATTAATTCAAACTACTTTTGGGTACCTTGGTTCAGGTAGTGAGCTTTCTGACCGCTGTTAAAGGAACTGCTACCGCTCAGTACCTTTAATGAAAGAAAGCAACCCTCACAGACACACAGACACCCATATGCACGCACACACACTCCTACCTTTCTGCCTGAAGCAGGGAAGTCACACAGTGTGTGTCTTTAACCCACACAATAGAGACCTGACTTTCCCAGTTGGATGGTATACAGTGATTCAATAGAGCTTACAGCAATAGAGCTTGAACAGCAATGTCATTATTGGCAACGTTTCAACCTATCTTAACCACAGAGCTGATGTGAGTAAGATGGAGAATTTAACCTGTGGTTGGTACATGAACTGTCAACCCATATGAACAGCCATGACACCGCAGAGGGAGATTACATGAGCTGTCAACCAATATGAAAAGCCATGACACCGCAGAGGGAGATTACATGAACTGTCAACCAATATGAACAGCCATGACACCGCAGAGGGAGATTACATGAACTGTCAACCAATATGAACAGCCATGACACCGCAGAGGGAGATTACATGAACTGTCAACCAATATGAACAGCCATGACACCGCAGAGGGAGATTACATGAACTGTCAACCAATATGAAAAGCCATGACACCGCAGAGGGAGATTACATTAACTGTCAACCAATATGAAAAGCCATGACACCGCAGAGGGAGATTACATGAACTGTCAACCAATATGAAAGCCATGACACCGCAGAGGGAGATTACATGAACTGTCAACCAATATGAAAAGCCATGACACCGCAGAGGGAGATTACATGAACTGTCAACCAATATGAAAAGCCATGACACCGCAGAGGGAGATTACATGAACTGTCAACCAATATGAACAGCCATGACACCGCAGAGGGAGATTACATGAACTGTCAACCAATATGAACAGCCATGACACCGCAGAGGGAGATTACATGAACTGTCAACCAATATGAAAAGCCATGACACCGCAGAGGGAGATTACATTAACTGTCAACCAATATGAAAAGCCATGACACCGCAGAGGGAGATTACATGAACTGTCAACCAATATGAAAAGCCATGACACCGCAGAGGGAGATTACATGAACTGTCAACCAATATGAAAAGCCATGACACCGCAGAGGGAGATTACATGAACTGTCAACCAATATGAAAAGCCATGACACCGCAGAGGGAGATTACATGAACTGTCAACCAATATGAAAATCCACAACACCGCAGAGGGAGATTACATGAACTGTCAACCAATATGAACAGCCATGACACCGCAGAGGGAGATTATAAAGCACTGCATCAGATCCGCTGGAAAAAGGCAATGTGACGAAAAGAGGAAGGAAACATGCGTCTGCTGGAGGGCCTTACATCAGAGGGATGGTAGGAAGAGGTGGAGAGAGAGAGAGAGAGAGAGAGATTGCCAGTGCATCTGATGATGGCTCCACATTATGGCACAGGCTAATTCTGCCATAGAAATGTGAAGCATCCAGAGCACCAGTCTGCTAGAGTTTCTTGTCTGTAGTGCAGTAGTAAAGTAGGGCCCTTCCTCCCTGCAGTGCCACAGCCTGTGCCATGGGTAGAGGTGCCAGGGGCTCGTAGGGAGGCTCTGCACAGTGTGCCAGCTTGTCTCTCTGCCCCACTGTTCCACAGCCTCTTCTCAATCTGGAGCCCTCTGGCAGTCTGTGTGGCCACTCTACCTACACACACTTACATAGTATGCAGATACACACACACACAGTACACACACAAACCATACACACTCACTGTCTAGTATCTGACTGTAACAGACACATACAGCTTCAGGCTTGTACTCTGGGTTATTTATTGAAGTTAGAGATGCAGACAGACTCCCACCTGTAGCTGTACCGCTCTAACTATCAACTGTAAACAAGCCCAATACAAAGATCCATGTACAGCACTACAACTAGCACATACTTGAATGGCCCATTGGAACAGTACAGTGTGTGAATCAGGAGAGAGAGAAGAGTGAACAGAGAATTATATTTGCAAATCAAATGGAGTCTAGTCTGCAGATTCTGGGCGGAGCCGCTGGCTGGAAGAGTGCCCACTCTGAACTGAGAGGCCACAGTTCTATTCGCATACACGCTAGCACGCACACAAACATACATACGCAGGCAAGAACACACGCTAGCGAGCACACACAAACACACATACAACAAGCACACACACTAACTCCGTCACATGCCAAGACTCACCCTGGAACAGTGTCCCAGTGAAGATTCAATCACACCCACCCACAGTCACGTAGACCAAATCTGCAGGCAGCCTATTGTGAAAGAATAGTTGTTCCTCTGCCAGGGTGTCATATGCTAGCTAGCTGCTCGGTTAAATCGAGGGTTGCGCAACAACACAAAACACAGTAATGCCTTTGCTTTGCTCACAGTTGAATTGCTATTGGACACATACTGTACGTCACAGCACAGCTCCTCTTCTTCTCTAGAGAAGACAAAACAACAGACAGGTTTGGATCATCACCAGGAAGCCCCTCCTGTCTTGTTCCCTGTGTGTCCTTGCTTCTTTCTCTCCTTCTTCTATTGTGTCAACTTCAAGGGAAGTCAGTTGAACTTCAAGGGAAGTACGTTGAACTTCAAGGGAAGTCTGTTGAACTTCAAGGGAAGTCAGTTGAACTTCAAGGGAAGTACGTTGAACTTCAAGGGAAGTCTGTTGAACTTCAAGGGAAGTCAGTTTAACTTCAAGGGAAGTCCATTGAACTTCAAGGGAAGTCCATTGAACTTCAAGGGAAGTCCATTGAACTTCAAGGGAAGTCCGTTGAACTTCAAGGGAAGTCAGTTGGCCCAGTTGACGTTGACCTAGCTAGACATCTATTTCTGTCTAGTGTACTTGGCACATCTAATGAGGTGCAGTGATAGGATGTTTCTGATGTAACTCCGCAGATAGAGGCTGAAGGGGTCTGTGTGTGTGTCCCTGCATGTGTGCTTCTGCATGTGTGTGCTCATGAATGTGTGTGCGTGCATGGGTGTGTGACTCTGGGATTAGTGTAGGTCATGGCAGTGCAGCTGGACCACGTGTGTACAGAGGCCATTGAGAGAGGGGGATTAGGGGTAAACTGATACTTAGCAGATAATGAGCAGTGGCTACTGATAACTCAACTATACCCTCCTCTCATCTCTTCTCCTCCCCCCTGTCACCCCTTAGCACACAGCCCCACACACCACCCAGCTCTCCTCTCGTCCATCACCAGCCTGCAGCTCTCCGGACGGAGATTGTCATGCAAACTGAGGCCAAGGCTTCAGAGCTGATAAGAGGGCCTCTCATTTCAGAGGACTTTTTTTTCTAAACAAAGATGAACTGGGTTTGGGAGACAGGGAGAGACAGGGAGAGACAGGAAGAGACAGGGACAGACAGGGGAGGGGGCTCAGTGGGGTTGATTGAATAGTTCCATGTCATCATTATTGTGGGCCTGCTTCCCTGGGGTGGGGTAAGTGTGAAGGGCTATTTGGATAGGTATGGAGGGTGTGTGTGTGTGTGTGTGTGTGTGTGTGTGTGTGTGTGTGTGTGTGTGTGTGTGTGCGTGTGCTCATGTGCATGTGTGTGTGTGTGTGTGTGAACAGGAGTCAGGTTCTGTTCTACTATGACAGGAACCAGTTCAGGTTGTTGACAGATCCTGATGGATTATTCTGTTCTCCGCTGTCCTAGTTTCTCTCTCTCTCTCTCTCTCGCTCTCCACCCCCCTCTCTTTCTCTCTCTCTTGTTCGACCTCTCCGCCTCTCAGACCATCTAATTTACTATCAATTTCTTGACGCCACACAGGGTTTGTCCTTATCAAAGGACTTGTCAAACACATCGCCCCAGAGTCTCGTTTACTGCTGTTATTATTGCATAAACACACAAGTTCACGCCACACTCACTGAGGTTCTATTATATAATAATAATATAATAATATATGCCATTTAGCAAACACTTTTATCCAAAGCAACTTACAGTCATGCGTGCATACATTTTTACGTATGGTTGGCCCCGGGAATCGAACCCACAACCCTGGCGGTGCAAGCGCCATGCTCTACCAACTGGACTCTTTCTCTGACCCTGTGTTCAAATCAAATCAAATAATCAAATCAAATGTTATTGGTCATGTACACATATTATGCCGATTTTTTCGCCGGTGTAGCTAAATGCTTCTGTTCCAACAGTGCAGTAATACCTACAGTGTTTGTAACATCCAGGGCCAAGAGGATTGCTGCAGATCCCTATTCCCAATTTAGTGCACTGCTTTTGACCTGGGATAAGGGTGCAATTTAGGTTGCAGACACACTCATCTGTTTTAAGAAATGGTTAGAGTAGAGAGGTTGATTTGTTACTTCAGTATTGGGATTATTCCTGAGACTGATTTAAAACATATTTTCCTCAAGCAGAATGAAGCTGTTAGGAATTTAGGCTGTAGACTTAGAATACATTTAGTTTGATATGAAAATGTATAAGAAAAGCATACGCTTGGCTGTAAGCAGCTAGTGACAAATGGCTCTCCAATCCAATGACATATTGCTGCTATTCTTATCATCAATGATTAGTTGTAGTAGCAGTAGCAGTAGAGCAGGGGTCAAAATAGGTTTTTAATGGATTTAGGCTAAGGAATTACAATATAGTTGGATGTAAAATGCATATAAAAAAATGATGCTTAGCATTAAGTGGACCAATAGCTCTCAGATGACACACTGTATCACTGCTGTTTATCATCAATGATAATCTAGTTGCAGTAGTAGTAGCAGTAAGATATGTTTCAATGGATTTAAGCTAAGGAATTTGAATATAGTTTGATGTAAAAAATGTTATGGGGGTTATAGGTTAAGTTTAGACTAGCCCTGTGGTTTCCATTGAAGGTGCTAGGGGGAGGTGGGGCCAGTAAAAGTTCGAATTTTTGCCTCCCTGTTTTTTTATTTTATGATTGGGGCTGCTTTTTTACGGGCCTGGGCCTACAGCTGCTGTTGTGAATAGCTGCCCAAGTTGTCTGGATCCTAATAAAGGCCTGGCCAGCCATGAGACTGTCTTTATAGGCCAGCTTATGAGCCTGGGTCTCTATTAAACCCTGCCAGGGCCGAGCTGAGGAATTTAGGGCCAGGAAACAAGAGAAAAATAGGGTTTGTGTGTCAGTGGGTGGTGGAGTTTGGAGGCTGGTGCTGGAGAAGTGGGGAGGTTGAAGTTTGAGGGGTGACCGGGGGTGAAAGTTGAAAGAAGTGTTATTAGGGAGGGGGTCAACATGTGTGTGTCTCTTACTGAGAGTTTGCAGTGTTAGCTAGCATGTGTGAGGGCCTAGTGTGTGTGGGTGTATATGCGTGTGCCTGTGTGTGTGTTGTGTGCGTGCGCCTGTGTGCGTGTGTGTGGCTTATGGCTTATGGAATCCATACAATGCACAGCTCAGTGCACTTATTTAGAACACCATGAGCATGTGACTCAAGGTACAACTGTGACTTCAGTGGTACGGCAGTCAGCTTGTGTGACTGGGTTTGAACAGGATTGGCAAAGTCTGCAGTCTGCAGCAGTGGGAGGGGCAGACAGAGGCAGATGCCAGTTGTGCATGGACTTCTACATTTTGGTCTCTCATCTTCCTACACCTTAGCTACCTTGTCAGGTGTGTGCTAGATTTGTCCTGAGGTTGTGTTAAGTGGATGCCGGTCTCAGTGAGGCTGCTGTGGAATGACTGAGGAATCCCTAGCTGAAGGCACAGCCCTGCCCATTCAGCTACCAGTCCTTATCAGAGGCTGAGATCTGTCAATCTAATCAATCACGCCTCCACTTATTGTCAGTTATCTGCCTGCTGTTAAACGTTCTGCCACCTCTGGTCTCTTGGCCCTCCCACCCCTATGGGAGGGCAGCTCCTGCTCAGCCCAGTCCAAGCTCTTCTCTGTCCTGGCACCCCATTGGTGGAACCAGCTTCCCTGCCCATCTTCTGAAAATATCTGAAACCTTACCTCTTCAAAGACTGTCTGAAATAATCCCACAGCACCCCCCTCACACCCCCTCCTAAATAAAAATGAATAAAAAGCCTTTTGTGAACTAACACTGGCACTTGACTCTTTTCCATCTTACTAGCTCTGACTTTGCTATCTACTTTATTGAGGAAGAATGTACTTACTATGACTGTGAGATGTGGTTGTCCCACCTAGCTATCTTAAGATGAATGCACTAACTGTAAGTCGCTCTGGATAAGAGCGTCTGCTAAATGTAAATGTAAAATGTCAGTCTTCTCCTCACCAATAGTCAGCCAAAATCTCTCGCTTGTCTTTATTTGGTGTGCTCTAACCTTAGCATGAGTGAATTAAACTGTATGATAATGGCTCGCAAACAACTCTATTCGACTGCAAGCTAAATTTTTATAAAATCAATCAACAAATCAACCTCTCTACTCTTCTCTCTGTAGCGGTGGAGACCCAGAGCACCAGCTCTGAGGAGATGGTCCCCAGCTCTCCCTCTCCACCTCCCCCACCACGTGTCTACAAACCCTGCTTCGTGTGCCAGGACAAGTCCTCTGGATACCATTACGGAGTCAGCTCATGTGAGGGCTGCAAGGTGAGGAGGCCCCTGCTTCATCTTCATCATCATCACCACAAACACACAGACAACACTCAAACTCAACACTGACAAGACAAAATAACAGCCTGGCAGGCAGCAAGCAAAATAATATCTAGTTTCTAATGTACTCTCATCTCTCTCACTTAGTATTGTATCTATCTATCTATCTATCGATCTATCTAACAACAGATCAAAAAAATCTATTCTATCTATCTATGCTGATCTATCTATCTATCTAGATCGATCTATCTAGCTATCTATCTATCTATCTATCTATCTATCTATCTATCTATCTATCTATCTATCTATCATATCAATATCTATCGTCTATCTATCTATCTATCTACTATCTATCAGAGAGATAGATATATCTATCTCTCTATCTCTCTCTCATCTATTAAGTCTCTAGCGAGAGATATCTACGCTATCGGAGAGATAGATATATAGATTTCTATTCTTATCGATCTATATATATATCTATCTGTGTATCTCCTCTACGCTATATTGATTTTCTCTCTCTCTCTCTCTCTATCTCTCTCTACGCTATATTTATTCTCTCTCTCTATTCTCCTCTCTCTCTCTCTCTCTCGCTCTATCTCTGTTAATGTCTCCAGGGTTTATTTCCGCGAGCAGATCCAGAAGAACATGGTGTACACCTGCCACCGAAGACAAGAACTGCCAGATACCAAAAGGGTGACCAGCAAACCGCTGCCAGTTACTGCCGACTGCAGAAGTGCTTCGAGGTCGGCATGTCCAAGGAAGGTGAGAGACGTAAGAGGGGCTGTGGGATGGGATGAGGGATACGGTTCTACTGACCTAGGACATCCAGGCACTGTGATACGGAAGCATGGACGCAAGCACACGCATGCACACACAGACGGAAGTACACACATACACATACTCTGAGAATATAAATCAAGCACTCAGTATGCTATTAGATAGTCGTTGGCAAAGTTTGATATTAAATAATTAACTTAAGACAGTGGTCACCAACCGGTCGATCACAATCGACTGGTCAATCTCCAAGGCATTTCTTAGTTGATCACCAAATATTTCTGTAAAAGAAAACAACGATAATGTGTCTGAAGGTTGAACTGCCTACCCGGCAGGCCCAGAGAGCAAATCAAGTGCATATTGATAAGCGATTGTCAAGAATGCACAGAAGTTCCAAAATATGTGTGGAATGTAGTTTTGATTATTTGATTGCAATATGTGATCTGTAGGCTAAGAGAACTTCATAAACTGTTTATTCGATTGGGGGTTGGAATAGTGTGAGAAGACAACATATTAGGTGAGAATCAAAAAAAAGATTTGAGTCCCCATTCAAAGGCAAGGGCAGTGTGAATACAAAGAGAACTGAGTTATTTTGCTTTTTTTACCCCGGAGTTCACTTTAAAGAGGACTGAGATCGGTTATTTTAAAGAGGACTGTGAAAACACCCTCAGACTGACCATCAGATGCAGGCCATCAGTCTAGTAATAAAAAATTTAAAAAGCTAATTATTATGTTCACTCAGCTGTGCCTCACAAGTAATACAACAAATGATCTATTACCAGTGTGATCATATACCTACATTTTAAAAATATAATTTCAAAATGGTCTGAGACTAACAACATTGGCAGGGTAATTCAAGCATAGCCAATATGCAGTGATAATGTATTGGGCCTATAGCCTACTGCACAGACCTCATTGCTACAGAACTGTGTTTAATTGGTTAATGTTGCATAGGCTTATGTTTTTAAGTCATGTTTAAAGATAACTTTTGACTCAGAAAGTGATCTTGACTCAGAAAAGGTTGGTGACCACAGCAGGGTAGTGATTTGGATAGACTGGGCACAGGACCAACCTTATGACTAATCATGTTACCAAATGAGTCTGCCTCTGTCCCACATGGCACCCTATTCCCTATATAGTGCACTACTTTTCACCATAGCCCTTGGTCAAAAGTAGTGCACTATGTAGGGAATAGGGTGCCATTTGGGACACAGCCTCTGTCTTCCTGTTTCACCAGTCATCTCACTCTCAACACACCCTCGCATTGCCAACACCTTCCACCTTTCATTCACTGTCATCTCAGTGGTGAATGAGTTGGCACCAACTGATACTTCTGACAATAGCAGTAGCACTTTCAGCCACACAGGGCTCCATTTTCAGGGACTGTAAGTGATGTGAGGGTGTGTGTGTAACAGTGTGTGTGAGTGAGTGGCAGGCGGTTTGCCCATGGGATATGTATATGGGTGTAATGTTTGTGTGGGATGTGTGTTAGGACCGGGATCACATTGTCCCTCTGCTATTACTGGATATCCTGAGAGGAAGGAAATAATGGGAGGAGGGAGGGAGGGAGGGAGGGAGGGAGGCCGTACTTACTGGTCAACTCAATGGTCAACTCAAGTTTCAAGTTTTAAGTTTCAACGTTTATTCGCCACGTGCACAGGATACAACAGGTGTAAAACAGAACAGTGAAATTCTTACCTTGAGAGCTCTTTCCCAACAACGCAGTGATAATAATAATAATATAGATAATAATAAAAAATAAAAATAAAAACCACACAAGAACGACGATGTGAGTTAAAGAAACACGAGAATGCAAGTATATACAGGTAATTGTCAGTACCTTATTGAATGTGCAGGGTTACTGGAGTGGTTGAGGTGGTTTGTAAACAGGGCTGAAAAGGTACTGGTAGCAGGACAGGAGGAGGAACAGAATGGGAGATAACAGTGTATGGGGAGATAGTGCCATCAGTTTGTTTAATGAAGTACTGTTATAAGCTGTATTGTATAACATGGCTTAATAACATCAGTGGCTAGGCCTACATATCATGACTGATCCATGTTGTCACTGAAATTCTCACTCACATGTTGTATGTTCCTCTCCTCCTTCTCCTCCTTCTCCTCCTTCTCCTCCTCCTCCTCCTCCTCTTCTTCCTCTTCCTCCTCTTCCCCCCCACCTCCCCACCCCCCAGCGGTGCGTAACGACAGGAACAAGAAGAAGAAAGACGTCAAGGAGGAGTTGGTGTTGCCGGAGAGTTATGAGCTGAGTGGAGAAATGGAGGAGCTGGTCAACAAAGTCAGCAAAGCCCACAAAGACACCTTCCCCTCACTGCTGCAGCTGGGCAAATACCACACTGTAAGAGTCTCACACATTTTTCTGTTTGAACATACTGACACAAATCCGCTATGAACATGTATACCTTCCCAACTCAAAAGGCCAGTTTAGGGTCAATCTTATTTCTCCAATGGTCACTGTGTGAGAGCAGGGGTAAGGTGATTGGTTGGTGTAAAGTAAGACTGTGAGAGCATTCTACCTGGTTGGATGATGTCCAGTAATATCTTCTACCTGATTGATGTCTAGTAAGACAGCCAGGTCACCCGTGATACAAGTCAGTATTCGACGTCCATCCATGTCTGAGGACGTCGGGAGATGACGTGGAAACTGGCCACTAGGGGCAACAGTGAGCGCTGTTACCTTCAAGTAGGTTTGGGTTTTGCTAGGACATTGTGGACAGGGATGGCAGATGGGTGTAAGCAAGTTTGAATCCAGCGATAGAAAGTCGTTTTTTAGATTTTTGTTTAAGCTTATCCCAAACCGTAACCCTTACCTTAACCATTCTGAGTTAATACCTAACCTTAAGATTTCGGAGTTAATGCCTAAACTTTACCCTAACCTTAAACACTTCAAAATTTGACGTTTGGAACAACTTCTACATTTTTCGTATGACAAACATGGATGGATGTCTAATTCTGATGTGAGACTGTGAGAGCTAGTTGAGTAAGAACCCTGTCTTTTAACCCTGTCTGTGTCCCCACCGTGCTCATTATATCTCTCTCTTTATCTCTCCTGTTCTCCAGAACTCCAGTTCAGACCACCGCGTGCAGCTGGACCTGGGGCTGTGGGATAAGTTCAGTGAGCTCTCCACCAAGTGCATCATCAAGATCGTGGAGTTTGCCAAGCGCCTCCCAGGCTTCACCACCCTCACCATCGCTGACCAGATCACCCTCCTCAAATCAGCCTGCCTGGACATCCTGGTACTTACCTGGTTCTTCCGATCCCCTTAACCCCCTCTGTATTATCAAACCAAGTCCCGCCAGTCATAGTTGAGATCTGTCGAGATGGTCCCCATTATCTATTCTCTGGTACTCAGAAAGCCATGTGTAAATGTAATGATAAGAGGACAGTGCCTCTCAGTGGATAGAGGTGGCATTGCAAGAATAACTTCATATGTCGAAGTTTAATAGTTTTATGGACAATAGATATAGAACATAGCCTACTACATGGCTCAGCCTTCCTGTTGTATGCAGATAATACATTTTATTATACATTTTATACAATACATTTTATTTATGGTAAATACTTCCCTCTCCTCCCCCCCCCCCCCCCCCCTCTCTCTCTCACTCCTAGATGTTGAGGATCTGCACGCGCTACACCCCAGAGGCAGGACACCATGACCTTCTCAGACGGGCTCACCCTGAACCGGACCCAGATGCACAACGCAGGCTTCGGCCCGCTCACAGACCTGGTGTTTGCCTTTGCTGGCCAGCTGCTGCCTCTGGAGATGGACGACACAGAAACGGGCCTCCTCAGCGCCATCTCCCTCATCTCTGGAGGTACTGCATCCCTGAGGGGATTAACAAGATTTTACTGCTAGTCAATACAATGTTAAGAGCACATACAGAGCTACATGTCTGTGAGGTGTTCGGCCGGGATAACATCCTCACTCAGTTACAATACCAGTAGAAATCTGGAGGTAAAATACTTTGGTTACACTATACTTTACACTTTATTATATTTAATGGCGCCGGAGGAGATGGCTGCCATTTTACGGGCTCCTAACCAATTGTGCTATTGTGTGTGTTTTTTCGCGTTATTTGTAACTTATTTTGTACATAATGTTTCTGCCACTGTCTCTTATGACTGAAAAGAGCTTCTGGATATCAGGAGAGCGATTACTGAACTCGTACTGGACGAAGATTTTTTCTTTAACGAGTCGGACGTGAAGAATTTACTTCAGACACCCGACAAGGCCCAAATCCCCGTCAATCGCAGGAGAAAGGGATGGAGAAATAGGGGATGTAGGTCGGGGTGCCTTGTAAGGATCCGATGGCGAGTGGAGAATCTGCCTCTACCATCAGTCCTATTAGCCAACGTACAATCATTGGATAACAAAATAGACGAGCTACGATCACGAATATCCTACCAACGGGACATTAAAAACTGTAATATCTTATGTTTCACCGGGTCGTGGCTGAACGACGACATGGATAACATACAGCTGGCGGGGTTTACGCTGCATCGGCAAGATAGAACAGCCGCCTCCGTTAAGACAAGGGGTGGTGGTCTGTGTATATTTGTAAACAACAGCTGGTGCACGAAATCTAATATTAAGGAAGTCTCTAGGTTTTGCTCGCCTGAGGTAAAGTATCTCATGATAAGCTGTAGACCACACTATTTACCTAGAAAGTCTTTATCTATATTTTTCATAGCTGTCTATTTACCTCCACAAACTGATGCTGGCACTAATACCGCACTCAGTGAGCTGTATAAGGCCATAAGCAAACAGGAAAACACTCATCCAGAGGCAGCGCTCCTAGTGGCCGGGGACTTTAATGCAGGGAAACTTAAATCCGTTCTACCTCATTTCTACCAGCATGTTAAATGTGCAACCAGAGGGAAAAACTCTAGACCACCTTTACTCCACACACAGAGACGCGTATAAAGCTCTCCCTTGCCCTCCATTTGGCAAATCTGACCATAATTATATCCTCCTGATTCCTGCTTACAAGCAAAAACTAAAGCAGGAAGCACCAGTGACTCGGTCAATAAAGAAGTGGTCAGATGACGCAGATGCTAAGCTACAGGACTGTTTTGCTAGCACAGACTGGAATATGTTCCGGGATTTTTCCGAAGGCATTGAGGAGTACACCACATCAGTCACTGGCTTCATCAATAAGTGCATCGATGATGTCGTCCCCACAGTGACCGTACGTACCCCAACCAGAAGCCATGGATTACATGCAACATCTGCATTGAGCTACAGGGTAGAGCTGCCGCTTTCAAGGAGCGGGATTCTAACTCGGACGCTTATAAGAAATCCTGCTATGCCCTCCAACGAACCATCAAACAGGCAAGGCATCAATACAGGTCTAAGATTGAATCGTACTACACCGGCTCCGACGCTCGTCGGATGTGGCAGGGCTCACAAACTATTACAGACTACAAAGGGAAGCGCAGCTGCGAGCTGCCAAGTGACACGAGCCTACCAGACGAGCTAAATTACTTCTATGCTCACTTTGAGGCAAGCAACTGAAGCATGCATGAGAGCATCAGCTGTTCTGGACGACTGTGTGATCACGCTCTCCGTAGCCGATGTGAGTAAGACTTTTAAACAGGTTGACATTCACAAGACGTATTACCAGGACGTGTACTCCGAGCACGCGCTGACCAACTGGCAAGTGTCTTCACTGACATTTTCAACGTGTCCCCTGACTGAATCTGTAATACCAACATGTTTCAAGTAGACCACCATTGTCCCTGTGCCCAAGAACACTAAGGTAACCTGCCTAAATGACTACAGACCCGTAGCACTCACGTCTGTAGCCATGAAGTGCTTTGAAAGGCTGGTCATGGCTCACATCAACACCATTATCCCAGAAACCCTAGACCCACTCCAATTTGCATACTGCCCCAACAGATCCACAGATGATGCAATCTCTATTGCATTCCACTGCCCTTTCCCACCTGGACAAAAGGAACACCTACGTGAGAATGCTATTAATTGACTACAGCTCAACGTTCAACACCATAGTGCCCTCAAAGCTCATCACTAAGCTAAGGACCATGGGACTAAACACCTCCCTCTGCAACTGGATCCTGGACTTCCTGATGGGCCGCCCCCAGGTGGTAAGGGTAGGTAACAAAAAAAAATAAAAAAAAATAAATGTAACAACACAGCTGCCACATTGAACCTCAACACGGGGGCCCCTCAGGGGTGTGTCCTCAGTCCCCTCCTGTACTCCCTGTTCACCCATGACTGCATGGCCAGGCACGACTCGTGTGGTGCCAGGGTAACAACCTCTACCTCAACGTGATCAAGACAAAGGAGATGATTTTGGACTACAGGAAAAGGAGGACCGAGCACGCCCCCATTCTCATCGACGGGGCTGTAGTGGAGCAGGTTGAGAGCTTCAAGTTCCTTGGTGTCAACATCACCAAAAAACTATAATGGTCCAAACACACCAAGACAGTCGTGAAGATGGCACGACAAAGCCTATTCCCACTCAGGAAACTGAAAGGATTTGGCATGGGTCCTCAGATCCTCAAAAAGTTCTACAGCTGCACCATCGAGAGCATCCTGACTGAGGACCCATGCACTTATTTTTCTTAAAACTGCATTGTTGGTTAAGGGCTTGTAAGTAAGCATTTCACTGTAAGGTCTACAGCTGTTGTATTCGGCGCATGTGACAAATAATATTAGATTTGATTTGATTTGACTTTATTGACTTTGTCAAATCGTCAATTACATCAATCATCAATTACATCAATCCTAGTGTGATGGATGAGTCCTGTTTATCATGTATTGTGTATTTAACTCTGTCCTCTCCCCCATCCATCCCTCAGACCGTATGGACCTGGAAGAGCCCCAGAAGGTGGACAAGCTGCAGGAGCCCCTCCTGGAGGCCCTGAAGATCTACGCCCGTCGCAGACGCCCCAACAAGCCCCACATGTTCCCCCGCATGCTGATGAAGATCACTGACCTCAGAGGCATCAGCACCAAGGGTCAGTATTAGTACACTGGATTAGAGTCGAGTATCCTCCATTAGAGCACCTGTACACACTGTCTTGGCACACATTGATGATATGTTAAGATTTGGACCACACTGTCTGGAACATCAAGGGTGGGTTGTAGACTTTTTTCTCTCTCAGTATTTTATTATTTTTCTGACAGGACAGTTAGAATAAGATAGGGATACAGGCATTGGAGAGGGTACAGAATGGAAGGGCACAGACAGGAGAGGCAGAGCCAAAAGGAATCACTTTCCAGATATGATGCCATGGTTTCTCTTTTCTTTTTGTCCTGTCTGTACAGGGGCAGAGAGAGCCATCACTCTGAAGATGGAGATCCCAGGCCCCATGCCTCCTCTGATCAGGGAGATGTTAGAGAACCCAGAGGCTTTCGAGGACCAGACAGAGAGCAGTGGAGAGAGCTCCCCACCGCCCGTTCCACCAGCTTCCACCAAGCCCCCCACCACAATGAAGACTGAGGCCGAGGACGAGGAGGACTGCTGGGGGACAGAGAACGGCAGCGAGCCTTCCCCAGAGGAGGAAGATGAGGATGACTATGATGATGGGGAGGAGGAGGATCGGGACAGGGGCTCGGACAGTGAGGGGGAATCCTGGACTCTGGAGGGTAGCAGCGAAGGGGCTAGGAAGAACCATGCCGGGAGGGCGCAGTGAGGAGGAGAGAAGATCACAGACATGCAGACTGTACACTCAAACACACACACAAACTGACGTAATCACACACACACACACACACACACACCCTACCCCTTCCAGTGCTGGCCCTCCCTAACCTCCACATCCCCTCTATCTTCCTAATGCACATCCGTCTCTCCAAGCAGGACAGGGCAGGACATGGCAGCAGAGCCTTACGCCTGCCTGTATAGCCTCTATAACTCAGGTTCCCTGACTCACAGGTTCTTGACAAGTGACATGCAGAGAGACTATTATAAAATGGGAGATGGCGAAACGACATGATGCAACCATCTGGACTCGTGACTCGTGATATAGAGAAGAGAGGAGATGACAAGAATAACTGACTATCTTTGATGAAACAAATGTCAAATGTTTTACTATCTTCTTGTTTGTATCTATATAGAGGAATGTCCAAACCAGACAGCATGAACTGAACAGTAGATCCGAATGCAAAGCAAAGCACACTTCTCAAAAAGAAAAATACAGGATGAAACCAAACTGAATATGCTAATCGTTTTTTTTTTGCTTTTGGGAATTGTTAAATTTCTTCATGTTTTATTTTCTTGATTTTTCTTTTTCTTTCAATTTATGAATAAGTCCATACATATCTATATACCATTATATTATTAGTCTTTGTTTGTTATCCTGGTTTTGATTTTGTTAGATGAGGTTTTGTGTTTGAGGAGTTTTCCAGCGGAGATATCCAGAGAGAGAGAGCAATCAGAATCAGAACTGGCATACCACTAACTGAATCTCCTTTCCAGCTGCGCCACTGGTATATTTCGGGCACTTTTGCTCGCCGTAGATGTCAATGATAATCAACTCAGTAATGTTAACTTGTGTTACAGTGACTCAAGTTGTGATTTGTGTTGTTATCAGGGGACTAGCATTAATCCATGTGCTTTCTTTCAGCACAACAATCTATGCTGCCGATTGGATAGTGTCTTTGTGCCAAAGTTAGCAACTCATTTTTGGAAACAGAGAGTCAGGGACCCCAGACACCAACAAGTGCCCACACACACATCAAATCTTCACTCCTAAATTAGGCACACACACACACACTAAATCTCGGACCTATAACAGATGTGCCAACTTGGTTCGGGTGCTTGGTCAGAGTTTGACACTTGGCCGTGTATGTAGTACTTTGATATCCTGTTTTATACCAGGCACCGCTAGCAAAGTCAATTACAATACAATACATACAGCTTTATTGTCCAATATTGACAGTACCATCACTGCCAATCTCATCTTATCAGCAGTAATACAATTGTATAACTCAACAGAAATCATCAGATGTCTGTCAAACGAAATAACTATTTGACGACATGCACAAGCAGACACTCTTGCGTACACACAAACACACACACACACACAAACACACACACACATGCAACCAGGATGTTTTGGACAACGACATGGAAACAGACTTCTCAGGGCTTCTCTGTAAGGACCAAACCCTAGCGGGTGCGCTAGAAACAGGCAATATTTATGTGTGTATTTTTGACTCAGTCAGTTGGATCTGTCCAGTTAACCCCTAGCTCTGTGTACATAGAAGATAGATGACTAGGCTACAAATGGCCTGGATGCCAGTCATGCCAACCCACACCAAACTGTGCTGACATTGTCCTTCACTCCACGGTCCCAATAGGCCAGCTCTGTACAGCTCAGTTTGGCTCGGCTCGGCTCACTAGTGTGAAAAGGCCTCACCTGTCTCAGACCAGATTTGGCCTGCAGCATTGTCACTGCCCTGCCATGCCTGATCTGTGCTGCTGGCATCCAAGAAACCAACTGTCTTCTCATCTAAAAGCCATTATATCATCATGTCTTTGTAAGGTTGTATGAAGGGGGGAGGGATGGAGATTTCTTCCTTTACGGAGAGATTGTAGAGAGAGTATTCTCTTTCTCCTCTCGGAGAGAGAGAGAGAGAGATCTATAGTCTCTCTCTCTCTCTCTCTCTCCTCTCTCTCTCTCCTCTCTCTCTCTCTCTCTCTCTCTCTCTCTCTCTCTCTCACTCTCTCTCACTCTCTCTCAGCGTTTTGTGTTCTCATGTTTAATTTCTTCTCAATCGTCTTTGTTGCCAAAATGTATCAGTCAATATGTAACCAGCTGTTCATAATGCAGCTGGCTGGCTATATACAGTACAGAGGGTTGTATGCAGTCTCTCTGTGAAGCAATATGAACATGAACGCAACTGCCTCCCAGCAGTAGAGAGTGACCTACTGTACAGTACTCTCTGAATGTGGGCCTCCTGACCTGATTTGAGTGTGTATTAATGCTTTAACATGTCTCCTTTGCCATTGGGTGAATGTTCTCTGTATGGTGCTGTGATGTCACACGGCGCCGAGCGGAGCAGAGCAGCGAGGTTTGATGACCTCATCACCACTCCTCTCTGCCTGCCCTGCCAGGCGTTCATGATGCAAACACAACGTTGAGATTATGTTGTTACACAACGTTATGACAACATGGTTCTGATGCAGGTGTTCTTTTCTGTAAAACATGGCCAAGCTATTGTCCAATCTTCTGTTCATACCAACTCATACAAAGAAAAAGCCATATAAATAAATTACTTTTGTGAGATTAACAGATTATTTTATTGTGCTATTTTTACTTTCTGTTTTCATCTGTGTTATAGTGAATGTCTAAACAATTGGTAGTTTCCTTATATATTGAAGGGAATACCCATAGAGATCCTATTGAATTACAATATCTATCAAAGCACTGGCTGACCATTGTTGACCAACTCCCCTTACCAAAATGGCTGACCTTTTTAAACTGTCATAAGAAGGTTCATGTCCATTCTTTTACGGGAATACCCTCGACTCAGAATGGGGAAATGTTTTGTCATGTGTTATATTGCACTTAAGACACTGTTTTTTATGATAGCCCCGCCCCATTCACTAGCAGTGAGCCGTGACCCTGGGTAGAAGACCACTGGTACCAGACCATTTCATTGGAACTTTGAGCAGTACAGTCAGTGACGTTATCACGTCTCAGCACGGTGACTAACAATAGAGGGCGCTCTTGCACTGTGGCTACACAGGCTAACCAGCGAGCAGTGCCTATGTAGACCAGCCCCGCATATAGAATAGGATGAAGCAGAAACTTTAATAGGTAATGGGATGTGTCCCAAATGGCACCCTACTCCCTATATAGTGCTCTACTTTTGACCCTGGTCATAGCAGTGCGCTATATAGGGGATGTGGTGCCATTTGGGACACAGCCATGGAAAGCAGTGGGTACCACAGACAATCAAATCAAATGTTATTTGTCACTTGCGCCAAATGCAACAGGTGTAGACCTTACAGTGAAATGCTTACTTACAAGCCCTTAACCAACAATGCAGTTCAAGAAAGAGTTAAGAACATATTTACTATATAAACTAAAGTAAAAAATTAATAAAAAGTACCAATAAAAGAACAATAACGAGGCTATAAACAGGGGGTACCGGTACAGAGGGTACAGGGGGTACAGGTTAGTCGAGGTAATTTGTACATGTAGGTAGGGGTAAAGTGACTATGCATAGATAAGGGGGGGGGGGGGGGGGGGGGGGTCAATGTGACTAGTCCGGGTGGCCATTTGATTAATTGTTCAGCAGTCTTATGACTTGGGGGTAGAAGCTGTTAAGGAGCCTTTTGGTCCAAGACTTGGCGCTCCGGAACTGCTTGCCGTGAAAACAGTCTATGACATGGGTAAATGGAGTCTTTGCCAATTTTTGGGGCCTTACTCTGACACCGCCTAGTATATACAGTGGGGAGAACAAGTATTTGATACACTGACGATTTTGCAGGTTTTCCTACTTACAAAGCATGTAGAGGTCTGTAATTTTATCATAGGTACACTTCAACTGTGAGAGACGGAATCTAAAACAAAAATCCAGAAAATCACATTGTATGATTTTTAAGTAATTAATTTGCATTTTATTGCATGACATAAGTATTTGATCACCTACCAACCAGTAAGAATTCCGGCTCTCACAGACCTGTTAGTTTTTCTTTAAGAAGCCCTCCTGTTCTCCACTCATTACCTGTATTAACTGCACCTGTTTGAACTCGTTACCTGTATAAAAGATACCTGTCCACACACTCAATCAAACAGACTCCAACCTCTCCACAATGGCCAAGACCAGAGAGCTGTGTAAGGACATCAGAGATACAATTGTAGACCTGCACAAGGCTGGGATGGGCTACAGGACAATAGGCAAGCAGCTTGGTGAGAAGGCAACAACTGTTGGCGCAATTATTAGAAAATGGAAGAAGTTCAAGATGACGGTCAATCACCCTCGGTATGGGGCTCCATGCAAGATCTCACCTCGTGGGGCATCAATGATCATGAGGAAGGTGAGGGATCAGCCCAGAACTACACGGCAGGACCTGGTCAATGACCTGAAGAGAGCTGGGACCACAGTCTCAAAGAAAACCATTAGTAACACACTACGCCGTCATGGATTAAAATCCTGCAGCGCACGCAAGGTCTCCCTGCTCAAGCCAACGCATGTCCAGGCCCGTCTGAAGTTTGCCAATGACCATCTGGATGATCCAGAGGAGGAATGGGAGAAGGTCATGTGGTCTGATGAGACAAAAATAGAGCTTTTTGGTCTAAACTCCACTCGCCGTGTTTGGAGGAAGAAGAAGGATGAGTACAACCCCAAGAACACCATCCCAACCGTGAAGCATGGAGCTGGAAACATCATTCTTTGGGGATGCTTTTCTGCAAAGGGGACAGGACGACTGCACCGTATTGAGGGGAGGATGGATGGGGCCATGTATCGCGTGATCTTGGCCAACAACCTCCTTCCCTCAGTAAGAGCATTGAAGATGGGTCGTGGCTGGGTCTTCCAGCATGACAACGACCCGAAACACACAGCCAGGGCAACTAAGGAGTGGCTCCATAAGAAGCATCTCAAGGTCCTGGAGTGGCCTAGCCAGTCTCCAGACCTGAACCCAATAGAAAATCTTTGGAGGAAGCTGAAAGTCCGTATTGCCCAGCGACAGCCCCGAAACCTGAAGGATCTGGAGAAGGTCTGTATGGAGGAGTAGGCCAAAATCCCTGCTGCAGTGTGTGCAAACCTGGTCAAGATCTACAGGAAACGTATGATGTCTGTAATTGCAAACAAAGGTTTCTGTACCAAATATTAAGTTCTGCTTTTCTGATGTATCAAATACTTATGTCATGCAATAAAATGCAAATGAATTACTTAAAAATCATATAATGTGATTTTCTGGATTTTTGTTTTAGATTCCGCCTCTCACGGTTGAAGTGTACCTATGATAAAAATTACAGACCTCTACATGCTTTGTAAGTAGGAAAACCTGCAAAATCGGCAGTGTATCAAATAC